AATAAAGTGCTGAGCACAACATTCCAACATATTTGGCTTCGCATGAAGCAAGAGGCTTCGAAAATGAATGCTAAATTGAATTATGAACTCAGATGGCCTTTGACGAGGACAGTGCAATTGTTGAAAGGCATCATTACACCAAATGTGCATTTGAAGATGTTTGAGAGAATGTTCCAATCCTTATGAGTGGCTATATTTAAACCATTGTACCATTGCAACACTGTCCCTTAGAGACGTGAGAAATTCACGCAAATGCTGAGTATTGTCCCAAAAATGATATGTGGCAATCACCATGAAGTGATGGAACCAATGATACACATCATCCCTAGGAAGAACTTCAGCTGAATTTGAGGATTGGCAGTAAAAGTAGGAAGAGCTATACCATGTGTTGTGAATGCTAGTATCAATTGAGTCTGATTGTTTAATTGCAACCACATAGCATTAAAAAATTGCATCAATTATTGCTCTAGAATTAAAGGAGGAGGAGGCTACTCCTCTACCATATAAATAAATGAAAAGAAAAAAACAAAAAAGAAAAAATTGAAAAAAAATTACAAAGAAAGGGAGATCTAAACAATATAAAATCTAGATCTGTAGCAAAATCCTAAATCAAAGCACTCCTTAAAAAGGACAATTCAAGCTATTTTTTATTTCCACCAATGTGAGTGAATGGAATATGGAAATACGATATATAAAATGTGCATATTAATTAGCCCAAAAACCCTAGTTTATATATAAGAGTAAGTGGTCCGGATTGAAATCAATCTGATGGTTTCCAACATCCCACTACATTAATATTAGTATATGGTATCTTAGCTATATATTTGGGCTTCATAGTATAAAATATTTATATCATTTAAAACATTATATAAGTATTATTTTCATAGATGGTTTTATTTAAATTATAAGATATAATAAATGATTGGAATAAAACATTACACTTATAAAAATTTAAATATAAAAACATTTTATTTATGTTATATTACAGAAATATTAAATAGATGATTGAAATTATTGAATTATTTATTAATAAAATAAAATAAAAACATTTTAATAATATTACTCCACTACAATATTTTATATATAACAGTCATAATTACTTTTAATAATTTTATAAATTTATATTACTTAATTCTAAGTTTTTATATAATTTTTAAATTTAAAACCTACATTATACAAATGATGGGATTGGTACTATATATCAACAATATTACCAATGTATAAATTCCTAAATTAAGAAAGAAAAAAATAAAAGTATTTTGATTTATTTATTAATAATTTTGAGAGACGGTCTACAAAGAAATAAATTTATTTACCCTATATACATGATGCATAAAAGTACACAGAATGGCTTATTAGCATTTTTGTTCTTATATTTCTATTCTTAATTTTTAAACTCAATACTTAATCTAAAATACAAACTTAAATTTAACTTTGATACTAAAAGTTTTAAAATTTTATTTTATTTTATAAGAGACCAAACTACAATATATATGTGTGTGTGTGTGTGTCTATATATATATATATATATATATATATATATATATATATATATATATATATATATATATATATATATATATATATATATATATTCTATTAGCCCATATCTATATAAAGTATTTAATGTGTTCTCTCACCACATTAACAATATTCATACATATATACCTAGAACTCATCCTCTCAAAAAGATGGAAATTGTTTTGAGTTATATACTAGAATTTGAAGGAATATGGTATTGATGATATAACTTGTTATTAATCCCTTTCTCCACATATACAATATTTAAAGAATTAACTTATTGAATGTTGTGTTAAATGTTATAAACTTGAAATTCAATATATTAAATAAAATCTTTTTTACCTTGTACTCTATAGGTGGATAATGATAAAAGTTATAATATTGTTGTTCTCCCACTTGTATATGGCCCCAAGTGTTTAATAAATTGTAATTAGACTAATGGAAGAATGCTTGTGGCAATCATAAGCATTATACAATCATTACTATATAAAAGCTCATATGATGAAGAACTTTGCACCCTTGTAACATATATAAATACCAGAAAAAAGATAAATTACAATCTTAATCCAAATGTTAAAATTATTATACTTTACAATGATCTCTTTGAAAGTCTTAACAAGCCATCCTATCATATATTATTTTTTGCAGATAATAAGCACATGTGAAAATTTAGCGTATTCTCAATTAAGACATTAAACATTAAAAATGCCTTAAAACTCAAGAATATTCTTCATTAAAATCCATTTTAGATAAAAATGTTAGAACACTACTTGATTGACAAAGAAGTAAACAATAATCATTAATGCATAGCAAAAACACTAACTTCCACCTAATTAGTTAGGCAATCAGAAGGAAATAACATATTCATTACCAAAAGTTGATTATGGAAAAGGCCTATCAAATCAAACACTAACTCCTCAAATTAATGGGAAATTATAATTGATTCAAACTGGTTTTTAAACATAGAAAGGAGTATTATAAACTTAGCACTAGATGCAATTATGTATATATTAAATAACATTTCATTGCTTTTTCAGCTAATAAAAAGACATATATAACTTTATGAATCACATGACAATGTCTCACATGCCTATATAAAATAGAAGATTCATGATAAAAGTGGAGGAAGCAAAGAATAAAGACTAAAAGCACCATTAGTGGCAAATGATCATTAGATCAATCTCTACAAAATAAAAAAAGATTGTTTAAAAGATGATATTGAGCATATAAATGTTAAAATAACAAGTTATCACCAACCTTTGGATCCATCACTCAATCTTTTAAGGTTCATGAATCTTTTCCAAAGAAGGAAAATTTCTTACAGATATTAAATGTAAAAAAAAAAACAATTTCTGAAATACATTTGAAAAATCCAATAATGCAGGAATAATAAGCTCTTCATGAACAAGAGAACAAGTGAAGAGGGAAAAGAGCTCAAGAAAGAGTATAATTCTTTTATTTCAACAATAAATTAATAGCAATATAATCACTCGCTAATAATGCCAATAAAGATACAAATATAGAAACTACAATTAAACATTATTGATTGCAAGGTACAACTAATGTACACAGTAAGATGATACTAACTAGAACTCTCTTGCATTGACACACCTCTGAAAGCCACACACATGATATACAAGATTATATGCTTAGGGATGTTAAAACTTTTGATAAACACCCTTTTCTAGCATCTTTCTGAAATTAGCCTATAAAATTAATCTCCTTTGGTGATCAATGTTGAACATAAATGGTTCAATCCCATACTTCTACCAATTAAAGGGAGTATCCCCCAAATAACAAGCAGCCAATTCAATAGGTTGAGGCACTACCAAGACTAATCCTTTGGTAGGGAGTTCCTTGTATTCCAAGAACGTAATTCCTTAGTCAGACAATTTTAATCTCTTCTTCGTTAGTGTCTAAACGAATTTAGCAATCAATTTATTAGGAATTGGCTGCAAATTATATCATCATATAACGGTCTGGAACGTTTGGGCGAAGTAAACATGGTTTGATGGATAGATACGAATGCCTCAGGCTCATCGATTCATGTAGAACACTATCTAGGGCACGAGAGATTCACGACCGCACGCGCCCACTCTTCTCATCCTCCTCCGATCCCTTCCTCCATAATAAACTCATCGAAATGTATGGCAAATGTGGTGGTGTGCGGGAGGCCCGGCAGATCTTTCAGGAGCTTGGCGCTGGCGGAAGGAACTCTTTTTCCTGGATTGCGATGATCTTGGCGTGCTCCAGGAATGGGCTCCTAGACGACGCCAAGCGGCTCTTTGACGCAATGGCGGATCAAACGCTGGTGGCGTGGAATGCGATGGTGTCCGCCTATGCCCAGAACGGGCATCTCGATGAGGCGCGGGAGCTATTCGATCGAATGCCACTCTTGGAGCTAGTCTCCTGGAACGCGATGCTAACGGCATATGCCCAGGTCGGGCATCTCGAGGGTGCGCGAGGAATCTTTAACGCAATGCCAGAGGTGAATATGCTCTCCTGGTCCGCGATGCTTACGGCATATGCCCAATGCGGGCATCTTAACGAGGTTAGGCAAGTCTTTGAGCAAATGCCACAGAGGAATCTTGTCACATGGACGGCTTTAGTAACGGCATATGCTCAAAAGGGGGATCTTGAGAAAGCCAAGTACTACTTTGATCAAATGCCTGAGAGGAATCTTTTGTCGTGGACCGCGATGCTTGGAGCATATGCCCAGAACGGGCATTTGGAGGAATCAAGACGAATGTTTACAGAGATGCCGTACCAGGATCTTTTGTCATGGACGGCGATGCTGTCCGCGTACGGACAGAATGGTCGCCTTGATGAAGCAAAAGCGATGTTCAGTCGCATCCCACAGCAGGATCTCGTCTCGTGGACGGCGATGCTCAGCGCATATTCCCAAAACGGGCATCTTGACGAGGCAAAGCGGATGTTCGACGGAATGCCACGGAGAAATCTTCTCTCCTGGACGGCGCTGCTCACTGGCTTTGCTCAACACGGCCGGGTTGACGCAGCCAAGAGCCTGTTTCACCAAGTGCCGCAGCAGAATCTCGAGGTCTGGAACGCGATGATATCGTGCTACGTGTTGAATGGTCTCACCATCAACGCCAAGAAGATGTTTCTCTCGATGCCTCACAGGGACTTAACCTCTTTCAACACAGTCCTCGCGGGGTTGAGCCAAACCGGCCAGCTCGAGTCGGCTAAATGCCTCTTTGAGGAGATGCCACAGAAGGATTTGTTCTCGTGGACTTCCATGCTGGCAGCGTATGCCCAATGCGGCCACCTCGACGAAACAAAAACTATACTCAACTCTATGCCGCAGCAAAACATGGTTGCGTTAACGATAATGCTCTTCGCATATGCCCAAGACGGGCATCTCAACGAAGCAAAGTCAGTTTTTCATAGCTTGCCGGAACAAAACTTGGTGTCCGGAAATGCCATGCTAGCAGCATATACCAGGAACGGGCATATCCAAATGGCTCGGAATCTTCTCAATATCATGCCTGAGCTTGACATAGTTTCGTGGAGCACTCTTCTTCATGCGTATGCGCATAGGGGAGATTACCACGACGCTAAGGAAGTGTTTGACAACTTAAAGTCCCTCCACCAGCCGGATGAATCTTCTTTCGTGTCGATCATCGTCGCTTGCAGCCATGCCGGCAAAGTTTACGATGGAAGGTGCTGCTTTGTTTCGATGAAGCTCGACTTTGGTCTCGAGACCACCAAACAGCATTTCTTCTGCGTTCTGGATCTTCTGGGACGGTCCGGGTACCTGGAGGAGGCGGAGGAGCTCGTCTTTACGATGCCGTTTGTTCCCAATATCTTGGACTGGACGTGCTTGCTCGGGTCGTGCAAGAGTCACAAGGACGTCGAGAGGGGAGCTCGGCTTGCGCAGTGTGTCCTTGAGTTGCATCCTGGCGATCCATCGCTCTATGTTGTGCTTGCGAACATGTGTTCGACTGATGATGCCGCTCTTAATTCAGCAGCTCGTGTTGGATCGTGGAGAAAGCATCTGATTAAACTGCGAGATCAAACGAGTGTGAGAGAGCTATCGCTGATCAAGTAAGAACTCTGTACCTGGATTTCTTACAGCAGGAGCATTTCATAAGACAGGACTCGCATTAAAACTCCCCGCAATTTACGTTATTGATTTACTAATCGGGAAAAACAATTTTTGTCAGTCGATAACTCGCTCTCCTGTTGAGAAAAGGTTCCAAACAACTGTTCCCACTAAATACAATGCGACTGCTACTTTGAAGACGTCATCCCATGTCCCTGTGCCCACAACAAAAACCACGAGTTAGTTAGACGAGGAAGAGCACAAAGACTAGAGGTAAACCATGCTGCAAGATGTATCCTGTTGCAGCAGTTCCTATGACACCAGCAAGAACTCCCGCAGTATTGGAGAGTCCGAGCAATACTCCCTGTTACAAGCTCAGTATCAGTTCTGGCCAGAAGTAGGATATGCCAGACTAGTTTATTACCGCATAGCGAGGGCCAATATCTTGATGGTTGGAATACAATCCCGACTGCGAGAAAGCATCCAAACCCTGCAAGAGACCAGATATCAAACTAAAATTCCACTTAAAGCGAGATATAGAGAGGATTTTACCTGGGAAGCCATCATACACAGAACAGCACCAGAAGGCGAACGGATATGGCTAAGCTGCGTAAGGAAAAAAGCCGGGCCAAGAAAACCAATGGATTGCATCACCTGTACATAGTAAAACAATGCTGCAAGCTTAACCAACAACGAAGAGCTAAAACATACCTTCCGAACAAGTGTGACCGAAACTCCCCTCTTTACAAGATTGTCAGCTATCCATCCCCCAAGATTAGAGGACAACGCCATTGTCAACCAAGGAAGGACTGAAAACATTCCGGATTCCATCAGATTGAATCCCAAAACCTGCATACAAATACTTTCATAATGAACTTAGAAATCAAGAGAAGTGTTCAACCTGGTTGTAGTACGTCGGCATCCATGTCAAGAGAATGAAAGTCCCCCAGTTGTGACAAAAGTGACAAACTATTAGCGCCCACACAGATGGTTCAGATAGAAGCTGACCCCAGGGTATCTCGCCGATAGCTACTTTCTCTTGAGCGCTATCTCCGAGTATGTAATTCTTCTCTTCCTCCGAAAGCGTGAGATCTTCCGCAGGCGAGCTATATGCCTGAAAAAAAAAAACTGACAATGAGAAGTAATGCAAAGCATGAGCAAACTTACGTTTTTCTGCCAGAATGTAAACCAGACCGCTCCCAACGAACCAAACGTGAAGAAAACTGAGGGCCAGTTATACTTGTGAATCAAGGCGGGAGAAAACGCAAGTCCTGTCACCGATCCAAGATACATTCCACTGTACACCAAGGCAAGCGATCTACTGCGTTCGGTCACCGGAATCCAACGAGAGAGAAGATTATTCATTGCAGGCATTGCAACGCCCTGTGAAAGAAATGAAGGATCGTAAGAGTGCATGGAAAGTAAATTCGCCAATTATACCTCGCCAATTCCCATGCAAGCTCGGACTGCGAATAGCACTGGCAGGCCAAGTTTTGCTGCTAGCGGAGTCAAAACTGTTGCTACTGACCACCATATCACTCCGAATCCTAAAACTTTCTTCCCTCCAATGCTGTCTGCCCACACACCTCCAGCGATCTGCAAGAAAGAAGCGTCAAACTTCTAAAACTTATTCTCCTCTCAAGAACAGTACCTGTGTGAGAAGATATCCCCAAAAGAATGACGATTGCACTAAACCGACTGTGGTGGAGTTCCAATGGAACTCGGAAGCCATTGGGAGAATAGCAATGCTCATATTCACCTATAACACCACAAAGATTTTCTAGTCAAGCGAGCCAGTTAAGTTTCCATCCAAAAAGAGAAACGAAAGTTCAAAAGCCATACCCGATCCATGTTGCACAGGAGGAACGCGAAGAAGCACAAGGCTACAATCTGCCATCGCTTTGGTATCCTGTCGAACCAGGACTTTGGTTTGTCGTCCTCCACGCTAGCAGTAGTGGTGAACGAGTGGCTTTCATCGCTGGAAGTTCCATTACTGGTATTGATTTCCATGGCAGGCTCCTCGTTGGATTTTTTCTCGCTCTCCAACTGATCTATACTCTCGGAACCAGGCGAAGAGGTCCCCCAGCAGTATGCCACCATTTTTCTCCTGCTCGGCCTTAGCCTTGGATTCGTCCAAAGAACGAGTTTTCCTTCTAGACCTCTGCTGCCTAGAAGAAAACTCTTGGAGCAAACATTGCCATGGAAGAATAGAATTTCTCTCCCAGCTGGTTTCCTCTTTTGTTGCATCCCTGGAATCGAAATTCTCTCCCATAAGCCGGATGGAAACGAATGTAGGTGTCGGAAAAAGGAAATGAAAATCTTCGCTCGCGCCTACTCTCGTCCTAGACCGACTCAACGAGATTCGTGACGTACCTTTGAGGCGATGGAGCTGGCCGCACGACATCGCGGCCGACATTGCGACTAGAGCCGATCCCTCGGGCGCCATAGATCGATCCTCGCCCTGCGAGTCGATCGGCAAAACCCTAGCACATTTTGGTAGCGCGCTGGCGCCTTGTTTCCCTCTGGTGAATCCCCTGCATTTGTGTGTCCATGGTTCACTCAATCAGCGACCACTAGATTTAAATCCGACACGAATATCCTTAGAATGATGCCACACGAATAAGAATATTCGTTCTCTTTCTTTCACTATGTCACCAAAGAACACACAACTATATATATATATATATATATATATATGAAGAATGCTATAATGGTATAAATCTAGATCATTTTTATGTTATTGGCTGAAGGATTATGGTATACCAATATACCTACTATTGAATTTTCATGATTTTTGGCTCCATCCAGATTCTCCAGATCGATTTCGTTCAATGTGAAAAAAAACATTATTTTTTTGTTTCCAAGAAGATTGTTGTGGGAAAATTTTTATTTACTAGCATAATGCAACTATTTCTTGATAGGTTACAATTGAGCGATCAAACCAAATGCTTGGTTACTATTGCTCTTTTGGTCATAACTTTTAGCTAATAAAATTAACAAAGCATTACACATCAATGAAGGCAAGCTAAGCTAGCCTATGTGACTTCCATCTTCTGTCAGCTTCTATAGTACACACTGTCATTGCTAAAATTGCTGCTGGTGCTGCTTCTGCTTTGGTGTCGAATCTTTGCGTAGTATATATTCATCAACGAGCTCTACCACGGCCTCGGCCCCGCCCCCGACCTCTTCCACCTCGCCCTCCACCCTTGGCTGCTCGAGGAGAGTCGCTCTCGTCCGAGACATAGTCCTCCTCGGACTCTTCCGTCTCCGAGTCGAACTCCTCGTCGTCCTCGGTCTCCTCCTCCACGTCCTCCTCGTCGTCATCCTCGTCCGACGAGTATTTCTTCTTGGCTTTCCTTTGAGGTCTCTTTGCCGGCGTTTCCTTCCTGCTCGGAGGAGGATTTCGCTTCCGTCCTCCTCCTCCTCCTCCTCCTCCTCTAGGCTCTGGCTCTGCTTCCTCGGCCTCGGCTTCTTCGTTGTCATTGTCTGCGATCTCGGCAGGTCACTGACAGTGGATTAAGCCAAGGTTTATAACATACCGTTTTCAGCGCTGCTGGCTTCATAAACGTCGAACTGTACGCCAGAAGGTGTTAGAAACGGTGATCCCAGCAATCCAAAAAGCTTACCTCTTCCAGTCGCTCGGCGCCATCCTTGGACCTGGAAACTATCATCATCGAATGTGCAAGGCCACACGCAACACTGGAAACGCAGGAAAAAGAAAAAACCATAAGCACTGGAACAAAAAAACAGCATTACGGCAGGCGAAGCAGCTACCTTATCACGTGCATGCCTTCGAGAGAGTCGATTTTTTTCGGGTTGGCAGACGATCTGGAACCAACAGTCTTGCACGATGACTTAACGGCGAAGTTGGAAAACTTACTTTGGGCCAGATGGACCATATCCAAGTTCGCCAGAAAATGCTGTCCCCCAGCTTATACACGACGTCTCCGCGGCCACCATGCTTATTGTATTGCCGGAATCCATGCTACGGATGGTCCAGCCACTGAGCAGACACAAAAGAAGTTTGGTCAGAACACGATTTTAAAGGAGCCAAAGTTGCTTGGTACTTCAGATCCGTAAGAGGCTTTGGGTACATCCAATTGTCACCGGTAGCTTTTACACGACCCCACATATACAGCTGGCCACCACCTAGATTGATCAACAATACCACTGAGTGTCGTCGGAAAAATAAAATTTGATCGAGCATTACCTGCAGTACAGGCTGAAAATGCAGCACCTGCGGCAACAACAGCGGTTGGGGGAAGCACATTCTGACGCTGGAAGACTTCTACTAATCTCGGAGTCCACTCATCCTTCTGTTCCTTGTGACCGAGCCTGAAAGTCACAAGGTAAACATCCGACGCAAAAACCATTAACCTTTACCTTCCATAGCCCCCATAGCCCCATCTGCAGAGAAAATAGTCAGTTACTCGCAGAAGTAGAAAATTCTAGAATTAAAGACTACTGTACGTGTAGACAAATCCATTGGAATCCGAAGCCACTGAAATGAATATTATGTCAGTCAGGACCGAAAGCAAAGACCACGAGGAAAATGAAATGGCCTCACCTGTATGATTGTGTCCACAAGCAACTTTTGTGACCATTTTTTCCGAGAACGCTGCAACTGGCCTTGGTTTCGATTGTGCTTCATATGCGAGTTTTACAGATCCTTCCTTCATATTATACTGGAAAAACAGCAATACTACTCAAGAAACCGGAAAAGAAAAAACAACGGAAAACAAATCTTACCTCGTTGTCTGTTCCATGGCCAAGCTGACCATACTGAGGCAATCCTGCGGTTCTGAAAAGATGATATTGTCAAACCGCGACTGTACGGGACGAAAGAGACTTACAAGATTGACGTCCCTTCAACAGAAGACAACCACACAGTAAAATCTGCCCCGCAAGATACATGAGTTGCTTCCGATACCAGACACTTCAGTGGGAGCTTCTCCACCTCTGCCAATAATCTCCATGATCGAGAACCGAATCTTTTTCCTTTAAGAAGATGCAGTCTCACCATCTTTGACATGACCGCTACCCAGCTGGCCATGTTTGTTGAATCCAAAAGCAAAAGAGTTCCCGTCATCCGTGATCACAACTGTGTGCTGTCTCCCTGATCCAGCTTTAACGACCTTGTATCTATAAAACAAGACATAGATTTCAAGTTTTTCTTCTCGGACTAGCGAATCTATACGTACTGTGACAAAGCTAGCACCGGCGTGGGGGCGTCTCTATTTGATGTGTCTCCGTGACCCAGCTGACCTTTCTATGGAAAAACAATGTAGCATAAAAACGTCCAAAGGAAGGAAAGAAAAGAAGAAAGAAACCCAGGAGAAGCTCTTACCTCGTTTCGGCCCCAGGTAAAGCACCGCCCATCAGCACCGATCGCAATACAGTGAGTGGAAGCTGGAACAATCCAATTCGAAATTTTCAAGATAGAACAATCGCGCACAAGATTTTCGACGCACCTGAGCCGGAGGCTACGAAAGCAATCTGGACGCCCTTGAGAGGGCTGAGGCGCGTCGGCGCGGGCAAGCTCCCAGAATCGGCTTGCTTGCGGCCCACAGTGTCCCAGGATGTAGTGCCACAGTAAAGAAGCTCACCTCCGCGATCCTCTTGCTCGTCCTGCTGCTCGGGAGCGTCCGGCGCCATGGGCGGTGCTTCTTCTCCCCCCTCCTGGGCAGCCATAGCGAGCGAAAAACCCTTCTTTTAGGATGCCACACCCAAGAACCCTAATGCACGTCTATTTGGAGAATATGCCAGGGATTTTAGGGTTTTAGGAATTTGGGGGAAACTATGGCGGGGCGCCGGAAGCGCAGTAAGTCGCCGGAGAAGAGGAGGAACCGATTCAAGGTAGGGGAGATCTCTTTCGCCTCGCATTCTTCTCAAATTTGTGAGAATTCTCGCAGTTTAAATCCTTCGCCGAGCGCATCGAGGACATTGATATCGATGTTTTCCACAGTCTAGACGCTGTGAAGGCCCAGCCTACAGCGGAAGGAGCGTCTTTTTTCTACGAGAGCTTGATCCAGTGGCGGGTGAGTTTTTCGTGCTCTATCTTACGTCCATTCGTTAAAAAACTTTGTTGTAGGAATTGAATGCTGCTGCCGATTTTATCGAGCTCTATGGGGAATTGCTGCCTTTGGTGCAAACTTTACCGCAGCTACTCCTTCACAAGGCCACCGTGATCAATCGTCTTGTCTCGTCCTTGAAAGCGTCATCGCTTTCATTGGAGCCAGTTTTCAGGTTTGTGAAATTTGCGACGATGTTCCTTCTAATATCTTTTTCTTGACAGCCTCTTAGCAGTTCTCTCGAGAGATTTGTCTGAAGATTTTTTGCAGTAAGTCTTCTTCAAGCCTTCGTCGTTCCGGTTTTAATTTCTTCTTCCAGATACGTTCCAGAAATCTTTGATGGATATTATAAGCTTCTTCAATCGGGTGGGGATAGGGATCCTGTCACGTTGCAGGTGAGCTTCATCTGTGTTGCTGGTCCAGAACTTACATTTTCATTCTCCAGGGTTTTACTTTAGTGGCATATATTTTTAAGTACATGTCCAAGTACTTATCGAAGGATTTGGCTTTTGTTCTAAAGTAAGTGTTAATGTTTTCAAGGTTATGATTGATATAATTCCCGTTTGATTTAGAGTAACGAGGTGTTTTCGTCTTTATCACCAAAATTATGTTCGCGTTTTTGCGGCAGAGGCTGTCTCGTTCGTTTTCAGGGTTGCTCCTCTAACCCAAGTTATAAAAGGTACACTTGATTCTTTGCTCTCAAATATCTGACTGTTGTGCTCTTATTCAGGTGTTCGACGGCTTATCTCGGAAACGGAGAAAGATCCTACCGACGAAAAGACTTTTGGCTGCAGTGCGTTGCTAACTTGCACGCTAAAGGGACCGTCGTCTGGCTTCCATTCTCGCGCTGAAGAGCTGTTAAAGCTCCTTTTCAGTCCAGCAGTAATATGTGGAGTTCGCGAAGGGTCGAAAGGTCGTTACTTTTCTTTTTCTTTGTGTGATTACCTTACATTTGGTTCTGCTGTAGGTGACATCGTTCTAGAAATATTGAAGAAGACTTTGACTGACCTTTGCGAAGAAATTGATCCCAATAAGCTGGAGCTGCTATGGTCCTGCTTACTAGATGAAATACTTTCGCTTCTCCTTTTACTTGAGAAGGAATCTAACTGGCCAGACAGGTCAGACGCTAGAATGGAACAACTTTTCTTGGTTCTTAACCACGTCTCTGAGTATAAAAAGGGAAGGTATATGAATGGTGAGCGCGCTATAATATATCCGAAAAATCTTTTCAGCAATTTTGTAACTGCAGGTCAGTGGCTGTTTAACTCTATTGGTCCAAGGCTGCTAGACCTTGTTCCAAAGTTGACAGGAGAGGCACACGAGGGCTTGCTATCTCAAGCCCTTGCAGTTCTTCTTAATGCAATCGTGAAGAAGGCAGATGAAAACATAAAGCCAGATGTAGCTGCTGTTGCATGGACGTCAGCATTTGAAAGCGCATCAGCTAAGAGGTTTTCTAACCCCTCATTTTTCGTTTTATTATTCTATTTTTTCTTTCTGACAGCCTATTGCCTTTCATTAAAGGACTGCTTGAGCAAGATGTTGGGACCGTAAAATATTTTGAGCACTTAATTTTAAGGTAGCTCTGGTTGTTTTCAAGCTATGCTAACGCTTGTTCCTTGTGCCAGAGTGCTTGAAAAACATGCTGAGGCTCATCAAGCGTGCGTTTTGCCATTGCTGCTAAGTTTGATTCAACACTGGGAATTTCCATCCATCAAAAGCGAGAAACTTTCCGCCGCTGTCACTGGCCTTGTCGAATCTTCTTTGGAGAAACTTACGAGTCATCATCAAACGTCAGAAGAGGCTGCTCTGGTCTTGACAGCTTTACGGTGTTTCCCATACTTGGCCACCAGTAGTAAGCCGGAGTCCTTTTGCCTGGATTTTGCAACCGCTATTGATCAGGCTGTAAAAGAAAATGAGAAGCCGGACGCTGGTACCTGGAAGGAATTGCTAGGAGCCGCTTTATTATCTTATCTGAAAGTTTTGGAAGCGCAGAAGAAACTCACTGTAGAAGAGTTTCTTTCCTTCTTAAATTTCGGTTTGAAGTACCTCGGATATCCTGACGTTCTAGAAGCTGTATCCAAGTGCGGGTTAGAACTTCGAAGGTCTGTCTTTTGAAGGATTGTTTTTCTTGTATTTTGACTTTTTCTTTTTTTTCAGGTTGGGGACGGACGTAGTCAAAGCCTCCGTGGAACTCAATCATCAGGCTTTTCTGAAAACTTGTAAATTATTGGAGAAAAACCTTTGGAACCCGAGTAAGAGAATAAGGATGGCAACCTTGGAGATTCTAAGCGTGTTCGAACAGTCACGTGAGAGTGCTCAGGTTTGCCTCCTTTTCTTTCTTTATTGCACCCGAAATCAATGTTTTCCCTTACAGCTCCTTGACGACTTGCTAGCAATAGAAGCCACGCCACTGGATATTGAGCACTCTCGTCGCCTTTCTTCCCTCATCTTGCAAGTTAAATTGAGCTTGGTTGGAAAGCCCGTTGAACTTGTTCGTTTGGCTTTTCATGCTGTGATAGGAGTATTGCACAATCGGTTTACACCATTGTGGGAGCCTGTCATTAGCTGTGTGGCTGAAATTATGGAGGCAAGGGGTGACAATGTTCGGGGTGATTTTACATCGTACCTTTCCGCGATACAAAATCAGTGTTTGCAAGACTCCAACGGTTTGCATGTTCAACGTCGTTTTCCGTTTTCTAAACCTTGCATTTCAGAACCATCTAATGTACCGGAGTCTCAGATGCCATCGAATTTGGTGGGTTTGCTTTTGCGGATTGCGCAAAGAACGTCGTCAAATTTCGTATCAGTATCCAACGAGATGATTTCTCTTTTTCTTGTGTTTTTAAATCACAAGAATGGAGAGGAGAGGTATGAAATTTTCTTTTTCCTTGATTTTTTCTAAACTTCTATTTTCACGTAGTCATTCTCTGACCAAGAATGACTGGAAGACTATATTGAAAGAGTGGCTGCAGCTTCTTGTTCAACTGAAGAACTTCACAGATCTTTCAAATGGTGTGCTTCTGAAGCAAATATTGGAGGAGAGGTGAGCACCTCACACGTTGAAATTCAGTGCCTAACGGCTTCCATTGGCAGGTTTCTGGTTTTCAATGATGCTGATATTCAAAAGAAAACTTTGGACTGCTTATTGAAGTGGAAGGGCTCGTGCTTGACTACATATAAAGACCATTTGTATAAACTTATGTCTGTGGACACCATACGCGATGAACTTGGATCTTGGAGCATTTCAAAAGAAGATCAGCAAGTGGCGAATGAGCACAGAACAGAATTGATGCCTGTCCTGGTTAGAATTCTCTATCCTAAGCTGTCCAAACGAAATGCTAAGCTGGGAAAGGTAACCGTTGCAAAATTCCTCTTGAAGCTCTTACTGACTACTGTCTTTACTGTTTATTCAGTCAGCAAGTCATATGCGTTCTAGCATACTCACCTTCTTATCCTGCCTTGAAGCTAAGGAGCTGGAGACTTTCTTTTCGCTAATTACTCGTCCACTAGAAGCGGCCTCTTCAAACGTGTTGCTGGCGGTCGACCAAAATGAAATCAAAAGTCCGATTGACTTGGTGGACAAGAAGAGGGTTGCAGGGTTGCCACACAAAACAAAGGTCGGCTTTCTGCATTTGGTGAAAGACATATTACAAGTTTTCGACGGAGAACGCATCGAACCATATCTTCCTGCACTGATGGGGATTGTTTTTCGGCTTTTGGAAGCCGCCTCTCTCAGCACGGTGGAGGAAGGTATCTCTGCCGATGAGAAACCGGTCTCTTCGGGCAAAGATTTGAGAACCCTTTGTCTCAAGGTCGTTTCTCTGCTGCTCAACAACTTTAGCAACGTCAGCCTTGAGCCCAAGTATTGGGAGCTGTTCTTTCAAGCAACTGAACGCTCAATCGCTTTATTGAAGGACGAAAATACTGGAGATAAGCCAACAGCATTACTATCGTGCTTTTTAGCAATGAGTACGAATGAGGATTACGCTTCTCTTTTGACGACGAACAAGTTGGTGGTGCCTAATATCTTTTCCATTCTGCTCGTGAAAAACTTATCGTCACCAGTACACATGGCTGTTCTGAGTTTTATTCAAAACTCACTCGGGAGGAAAGGGAAAACAGTGGAACTTAGTGTCTTACCTCATCTGACAGTGTTATTGCAAGGCCTTACACAGCAACTAGTCAAACAATCTACGAGGTGAGTGTTTCTTTTAATCTCTTTATAGATTCCGACTTATATTTGCTACAGCAAGGATTGGAAAGCAAAACACTTGAAGGAGCAGCTGCATATCATATTCAGTGTAAGCCCGTACATAAATGATCCTCTACGGGCCTCCGAGTTTCTGGATACATTGTTACCATTTCTGAAAACAAAGAAGCCTGATCCAGGTAAGGAATTCATAAAGCTGTCGATATTAATTCAAGTATGTCCTTTGCAGAAGTAAGGCTTGAAGTGCTGAAGATTGTCAGAGAGTTAGGGCATCTTTTCGACCCTTCTTGCGCCTCGAAATGTGTTGAGGCATTGACACCTTTACTGTCATCAGTCGCCTGTAAAACGTCCCGGATTATTTTATGTGAAAGCCTTGAGAAACTTGCGGCAGGAGAGCCTTCTTTCGCTTTGATGGTACGTTTGTTCTAATTTTTGGCTATCATTGATATAGTTCACTTCGTAGGCTGAAATATTGGTGGACCTGAACTCTATGTCAACTAGCAGACTTGATGAATGCGATTATGAACGCAGACAAGCAGGCTATGAGAAATTGACCAGGGAATTTTTGTCTCAAGTCGATTCTCGCCAAGCCTTGCTACTTCTGTCCCACCTTGTTTTCGATTTGGAATCAGAAGATATGCGGTACAACGCATCGAGCTGCCTGGTTATGTTTGTCAAGGCTACTGGGGAAGGAATCTTCAAAGACACCATCGGTCACGTTGTTCACGAGTTTCTTTTCTCCCGCATTACAGAATCGATCAAGTCGGAAAATGCTGCGACACGACGGGTAATATATGAAATGTTACTGGTTACATGTTTTTCTGATGACTCCTTCTGTCTCTCAGGAATGGCTGATTGTATTTCGAGAGCTAGTAATCCTCCCAGAAGTTCCAATGTTTTCCGAGTATCGGTGCTTGTGTAGTTCCGATGTGGAAGGGGACTTCTTCAGCAATATTATTCATATTCAGGTTGATTCTGTGGCTTCCCACTACTTTCTCTACTAACTTTTGTACCTTACAGCTTCATAGACGGATTAAGGCTATGGCAAAGTTTAGAGCCGGTTGTACTGATTCCCAGTTTTCCCAAGTGAGTATCTTTCTTTTTCATAAACCAGAAATTTGACAAACTATTCTACAGCGGTCGTTAAGTAAAATATTTGCGCCGTTATTTTCGCACTTCCTATTCGAAAGCAAGGATGAAGGCCTTGTAGCTGCAACTCTCGAGACCTTGGGATATATTGCCACACAGTTGCAATGGTCTCAAGCTGTCAACCTTGTGACCGACTCCTTTCGCCTTCTCAGGACGAAAAACGAGCACCAAAAGGTCTTGGTGCGGCTGATATGTTTGCTGTTAGAGCGGACACAATTTTCTCAAATCGGGGACGAAGAAAGCAAGTTTTTGGAGGATAAAGTCCTTCCCCAGCTCTCGAAGCTCATGCTGACTAACGAGTCGGTGAACGTTCCTGTGAGTGTCGTGGCCATCAAAGTACTCAAGCTGCTGCCCGAGCAAGCAATTAGAAAACATCTTCCTCAGCTTTTCCAGACTATAACAAATTTTTTAAAGAGCAGGAGTCAGGAAATTCGCGACGCAGCCAGATCTTCTATTGTCGGCATGGTTGAAGTACTGGGAGCCAAGTACCTCCAATTTACAGTGAAAATGCTCCACTCTTCTTTGAAACGCGGCTATGAGAAGCACGTCCTGGGATACACCTTAAACACCATTCTGATCAGACTTATTCCGACGCTTCGGGTGGGGGACATCGATTACTGCTTGGAAGACATGCTGAAAATTCTGGAGGAAGAGGTTTTTGGCGAGGTGGCCGCAGAGAAGGAGGTGGAAGCTCTAGCAAGAAAAATGAAGGAAAGGAAGCAGGCACGCTCGTATGACAGCTTCCGGCTTATAGCTCAGGTGATGACTTTCGACACTCACATCCATCGGCTTCTACAATCTATCAGAGAAAAAACCAGCTCTTCTCTCAAGGTTCTTGCGAAGGTTCAGTTGGTTCTTAAGAATGTCACAGCAGGGATTCAGGAAAACTCGTCGGCTACTGATCCACAGGTTTTAGTCTTTGTACGCGAGCTTGTAGAGGAGTTGTTTAAGCCAAAGCCTGACGTGACTACGACCGGTGACGATGGCAACTCTTTGCATATACTCGCTGAGTTCGCGTTAAACTTATTGCACGACAGGTTAAGGCGCATCCAGCCAACGCCAGAGGAAGTGTCTACGCTCGATTCTTTTGTTCCGCTACTCGCGAAGTGCCTATCCGTGAAGTACACCGGCGTTATATCCGAGTCTATGAGATGCTTGAGCATTCTGCTAAAGCTGCCGCTATCAACTATCACTTCGGCTGGAGGAGCGATCGTAAGCTCAGTTTTTTCACTCGCTGGCAGTTCCTCGACTACTGACAGCCCGCTCATGCAAGCCTGCATGAAGCTTTTATCTGTTATCTTACGGCACTGCAAGAGCGTAACCTTGTCGAAGGCTCAAGTACACGATCTTCTGCGTTTGAACATCTTCGTGGAGATTGAGAAACAGAGTGCCCAGTGTTTATCGTTACTGAAGGCAGTGGTCGCAAGGAAGCTTGTAGTACCCGAGATTTATGACTTGATGACAAGAGTTCAGAAGCTGATGATTACCAGTCAGTATCCGTCCACTCGACAGCGGTGCAGTGAGATTCTACTACAGTTCTTGCTCGACTATCCACTCGCTGCGAAGCGCTTACAACGTCATATTGATTTTTTGCTGGGAAATCTCGGGTAAACTTTCTTTATCCTTGTTTCAAGTTGGTGATTCACGTTTTCTTTTCTGTATTTAAATCAGGTATGAACATGTCACTGGTAGGGAAGCAGCACTCGAGATGCTACATACAATCATCGTGAAGTTTCCTGACCCAGTTTTGATGGAGCAAGCTGAAAGCTTTTTCCTGACGCTGATCACCAGGCTAGCCAATGACAAAGACGACAACGTTCAGGTTCTATTGCAGACAGTTCTAAGAATCCTCATGGAACGCGTAGGAGCACAAATGCTCGAGCAAATGAAAGGATACTTGCTGTCTTGGATGAAAAGTGAAAAACAAGGCCTTTGGTTGCCGGCTACACAGGTAAAGCATATCGTGAAGGGCATGTGGTCTAAACTTTCCGTTTCTTTCAGGCCACCGGGATACTTGTGGCTGTTATGGACAAGAATTTTGAACGTCACTTAAACGATTTCTGGCCTGCGATTATAACGATATTGGAGCAGTCGGCGGAGGCTCATTGGAAAGAAAGCTTTCACATACTACTATTGATTGAGAAAGTATTCCAACGATTTCCCAGTCGTTTATCACAGGTAGATGGTTTGTTCCCTATCGTTTTTATGCTTACCAAGTTCTTTTAGGAAACATGGACAACAATCCAAGATTTCTTACTGCACGGACATGTCTCAGTGCGAACCGTGTCCGCACGATTATTTGGTTCTTATCTCGAAAACGATGACGCCTCCTTGCTCAACGATTTGAGATGGCTGTTTCTTTTTGGGGCCATATGCTGTGAGCAAATGGCGTCGGATGTCTTCGACGAAGAGCTAGGTGGTCATGTTGTGAAGAACTTGACAACAGTGGCTGCGTCCTTAAGCGTCGCCTCCCTGAAGCTGGATGACATGCAGGACGAAAGAGTGACCAAGGCATTGACAATGTTAAGGCAGAAAGCGGGAACGATGGACCAGCTCAGTAAGACACTGACCAAAAACGATCCTCTTACTCTCTTTCTTCGGAGGCTTGAGAGAGTTTCTTTCGAGGGCTCACAGGTATGCTATTGTTTCTCTCCAGGAGCTGTTGCTTGACTATTGGATGTTTGATGCAGGCGAAGTGTGTGTTGACGTGGTACACATCTTTAGTGAGTCGACTTGGAAGAGAAGCGTCAGCCGCGTATTTGCCAAATATACTTAGTCCCTTGCTGAAAGTGGAACGTTCGACTGCTCCAGGTTATCTAGTTACTTGATCTGGCTTTGGTTTCTAAATTCTGCTCTGTGCTACAGCGGACCTGAGAGCATTCGCCGAGGGAGTTCGGGAGGAGATTCGGGAGCTTGTAGGACCCGAGAGTTTTGCGACGGCCTACAATCAAGTCTCTCTTGACGTAATGCAACGCAAGGATAACCGCAAGCGTGCAAAATCCATCGCGGCATTGGTAGACCCCGAGAAAACCGCCAGGAAAAAGATCAAGCTGGGCCAGAAGAGAGGCGCACAGAAGAAGAGGAAACGCATCGACTACAGAAAGACGTAAGCTATAAGCAGCCTTTTCGTCTCATCCAAACTAATCACTTTCGGATAGGTGACTTGGAAGAAGTTAAGCGTCATATCAGGTGGATGGATGATCCTTCCAAGCAAGAAAGTTACGCAACGATTACGATGGTCGCGAGTTACATCACTCACTCGAGATCGTTTCAAGAGAGAAGTCAACAAGATTGTCTCGAGGGAATGTAAGTTATGCGATGCCACTGTGAGTATCTGCCTAGCTACGAGCCTATAGTTCTAACTCTTGGCCATTCCAGATCTATGGAAAGTACCAGTACTGAAGAACAAAAACGGGCTCAACGGCATCATCTATATCGCATGGACAATGACTGACTCCTGTGATGGCTCGAGCAAGAAAAAGTCTTTATAGACTTTGAAGGCTCCGGGTAACGGGCCCTTCGCTCGCTCGTCGCGAGTGAGTGAGTTGTAAATCTCAATCACGTCACAGGTTTAGATCGATCGATCGATGGAGCGGGCGATCGAGCAAAGCAAAAGCAAAGCAAAAAAGTATGAGAGAAATAAATAGACAACACCAAATGATGGTGATGGTGGGCTTGTTTTCGTGCCACCCACACATTGACGTAGAAAATAGCTAGCAACTTCACACCCGCTTCTTGAAAAAAACTGACCACCAAAAGAAATATAGACACAAAAGTAGAAACAATTGCATGACATTTACCCAGGCCCAACCATGTGAATGCCAATCATGCAAACCACATGAAAATATATTATCCGCATATCCTATGACGCAATCGCCGCCGTTGGTCGCTTGCTTAATATAAACGCCACGTGTCGGGCGCCAGGTGCCACGTGGCAGACGTACGGTGAGATTCCGCCTCCGAGACTTTTGGGATTTTTGGCCCGGCGTACGGAACGCGCTCATCCGTGAAGAGTTTACCGGCGGTATAAGCAGGCGCCTGTTTTAACCAATTATAGGCTGGACATTTACCGGAGCTTACAGAGAGTGGGGCCAGTAGTTTTTAAGGGGCTATTAAATATTACTACTTTGACGGGCGCCCGTCGCTATTTGCTTACAGAGTGGCCGCGCTGTGCTCTCTCTCTCTTTCTCTCTCTCGTTACCTAGCAGTGTGTGTTCTTCGCCGCTAATCCTTTTGGGGAGCGCCATAGCTCTTGTCTTCTCTCACTGTCGCGGCGCCTGCGAGGAGGCGTGAATGCGACCGGAGATCTTCCAGTTCTATCTCCTGCCGCTGCTGCCGCTGGAGCTCTAGGCGCCGATCAGGAGCATCCGCCGCCGGCATTCTCGCGTAATCTCCAGGTATCGCGTCAATGCGGGCTTGAATCGGCATTCTCTCGGCGTCGCCAGGTACACAGCTCTCGGATCCATGCCGTCTCGAAAATCTCTACAGGGTTTTGGTGTCGCAGATGAAGGGATTGGAGGTTCTCGGGGCTTGAGGAGGCGGATTATCGCATCCAAGGCGCCAGGTACTTGCAGATCTGCCCGCATTTCGCTTCTCATGCATCCGGAGTGACAGGATCGATCAACCATCGCTTGTTTTGTCGTGTTTTTGTCACGGCAGAGACCTAATTCCTGTGTTCTTCAGTGCGGGTTTGCGATGGGGAAGTCCGCGAGATGGATCAAGAAAGTTCTCGGCCTCAAGAAGAAATCCTCGTCCAAGGAGAAGACGCCCTCGAAGTCGTCAGAGAAAACACCGGCAAAGCCATCGGATAGTGAGTTTGTACGTACTCGTTTGTCTCTCTTCGATCATCGTTCTATCGCTTTGATTAATGCTCTTTGTTTTTCTCTTTGGTTTCCCAGGTTGTCCCGACGAAGCCCATCTTTAATGAAATTCCGCAAGTGGTTCCTGTGCAGCCACCATCTCCAATTGAGCCCGTGCATGCGAAGAAGGAAGATCCGCCTCCTCCCCGTGCTGATCTATGCATATGCCCACCAGTGAAACTCGATCGGCAGATACAGTGCACGGATGAATCCGTTGAGGAGTCTGCCGAAGAACTTAATCATGCATCTCGCGAGGACCCGGAGCTCGATGTCGTGGACGATGATATCTTCCAGAAAGTTATCAGCAAGGAGGATCTCGCGGCTGTGAAAGTCCAAAAGGCTTTTCGAAGCTATCTGGTACGTTATGTCCATTTTCTTGTTCCTATTTGTTTCAACGTTTGTTTCTCGTAGGCTCGGCGGGCACTTCATGCTTTAAGAGGTCTGATCAGGCTACAGGCTTTGGCTCGCGGTCATGCTGTGCGTAGAGAGGCTGCGGCAGCTTTAAAATGCGTGCAAGCGATTGTTCGCGTCCAAGCCATTTTCCGAGGCCGGCAGGTTCGACTATCGGAGGAAGGCCAGGCAATCAAGTATCTTCTCCAACGTTACAGGCAGCTCACAGAAGACTCCTGGCAATTAGCGGTGAGTTATTCCTACACAGTTAATGGTTTTCCTGAAGTTTCCAGTATTTCAGGACCACAAACCATACAAGGGGATTTACCGCGTCAGCAGCAACACAAAGAATGCAGATCAAGCAATGCAACGACAGGTGAGCATGTTTTCCTATAGATACCGGAAGCTAATGGTTTTTAATGCAGCGGGAATGGAAAAAGTCGAGGAAGCAACCATTGTACATCGACTCGGCGCTGGAGTCTGGCTCCGGATGGGGATGGCTGCAGCGTTGGACACTCGCTCGGCCATGGGCAATGACCGACGGCGTGGACATCCCGGAACAAAGCCCAAGACAGCACAAACAGGAGCTTCCAACGCAAGTCAAATCTTCGCCTTCGTATCCGCCTGACACGATCGCAGAGAAAAGCGAGACGTATCCAACGCCGGAACTAAACTCACACCAACACCCACGCCCGGCGGCCCAGGACGTGGTACACGACGAGCCCGCGAAAGAAGGTCCCATTGCGGAATACACCGAACCAAGAACCTCCGACGCTCCTCATATCGACGAAGACTCACCAGAGCTCTACGACGCCACCGAGACGCTCTCTCCGCCAGCTGAGAATGACCACACCAACGGCCACGAGGTCGACCACGGTAACGGACATGACGAGTACCCGGACGAAGACCAAGCTTTTGGAGAAGAAGAGGAAGCGTTGGATCAGGACAATGGCCGCCACCACCACCATCAGGACGAGGATGACAACGAAGAAGAAGAGGAGGAAGAAGAAGAAGAGGAAGGCACAGCTCGCATCGCTCGGGCCGAGGATTCGACCAAGCAGGGATACTTTTCACCGAAAGTTGAGAACAACATAGACAACGCTACTACTCCTCACCGAACGCGCGTTCCATCATACATGGCAGCGACGCAATCGGCCAAGGCCAAGGTCCGCGGCCAGAGTCCCAAGAGCGCGTCACCGACGGAGACGGGGAAGAGGAGGTTCTCCATCCCTGGACCGAATAGCACCAAGGCGAGCTATGGCGAAGCTCCTCCACGGAGGCTTTCACTTCCAGGAGGTCCCAATGGCAACGACACTAGCCCGAGAAGGCACTCTCTTTCCAATGGCCGGCTTCCAGAGATGGTTCGCTCGCCACAGCCGCGCGCTTCGATTGGCAAGGCAAAAGCTGGTGATGGTCGCGATGGTGGCGCTGTGAGGAGATCTACTGAAATGCGGAGGTCGTTCAAGTTTTAAAGAAGAGCTCTCATCCTCTCTGTCGATCTAAACTTCAATACTACACGAAAGTAAGCTTGGTAAGTGAGGTTTTTGGTTTCGCCATCTTTTTCTCGTTTCATTTTCTTTTGAGAAATGTTTCTGGTTTTAAAATAATTTTACACAATCTAACTGATTAATAGTTGATTAGTATAATTACCTTGACTACAGTCCCTAAAACACCATCTCAAGAGTCACTTCAATTCATGTCTTTGTGTCTTTGTTTGGAAGACACAATCATAGACTAGTGACGTTTCTCCTCGTCCAACATGGTACGTCAGAAGCTAAACGTCGGTTTAGGGTTTTACACATACATATATACATATATATAAATATACATACATATATATATGGTCTAAATCAACAATTAGATTCTAGAATATACAAATATATTCTAGGTTTCTTTAGAATCACAAAAAATTTTGGAGATAATAAACTTGAAACAAAATCCAAACACTAAGAATAATTTATTAATAAACAACATATTTTTTAATTAGATACTTTTGCTTTATTGTCAAATAAAAACGAACTTAAAAGTTCGACATTTTAAATTGAGTACTTATAAGACTCAAGAATTTTTTTTAAATGTATATTCGATAGTGAAATAATGAGTAGTTTAATATCAATTTCATCTATAATCATTTTATTCAAAATAGGAGTTTCTCAAGATACTAATTTTGAAACAGGTGATCTTGATGTTTTAAGTGAAGAAGTATTGAATACTATTTTTCAAGTTATTCATGCTGCAATTAATTCTATACCAAATGGTATACTTCCAAGAGATCAATGGGTATATGGATCTTTAGGTATTACAAATCCAGATTTAACAACCACAAACATTGAATATGGTGTTTTTATTTTAGAAACAGTTGCACAACTTTGTGGTTCAAATAATGAACGTGGTGGAGAAGATGTAGGCTCTATCATTAGAAACACATTGACAAATATTTTAGAAGAATCCTATAATGATTTCATAAACTTTGCTGCATCTTCTATAACTATAACTACTGAACATTTTGTTATATTTTATTACATTATACCTCGTAGTCATCAAATACTTGCAATGAGAAATTTTAGGTGTAACATTTTAATAAATATGTTAATAAGTGGGTATACTAATATGCCAAACCAGTATTTATTATCAGCACATTTCCTAGTTTCTTTAAATCATAAAGCATATTTATACTTAAGTAGTGATTGTACTCTAATATTATATACTAAAAATATAAGTTTATGGTTTGCAAAAATAACAAAAAAAGGTAATAATTGTGTATTAAGATTACAAGAAGATGGAAATTTAGTTTTATATTCTTCTAATAAAAAAAGTATTTGGGCTTCTGGTACTTATTGTAAGTATTATAATTGCTATGAAAATTCACACTTAGAATTACAAAATAATTGTAATTTAGTTTTATATTTCTCATATCAAAGGACATTTAGCACTAAATCAGTAAAAAGAAAAGTTTGGGATTAAAAATAATTGAATATTTTAACAAAATCAATCTATTTAAAATGAGCCAAATCTTTTACCTCTTTCTACTTATAATTTTGGATATAGTATAGCAAGAAATTTGTGATTGCGGTTTTGGGGGGGAGGTAGTGTATATAGGGTGGGTGGCTTGGCAAAACAATTTGCAAACCTGCAAAATATATAAAAAAAAAACACATGTATGCTTAAATTTTTGTAATATACATGTTTAACTCATAAAATAATATTTTGAGCAGAACTTTTTTCTTACACATTAGCATGCATTAGTGCATACCATATATGCATTAAATATTGCCCAAGAAATGCTGGGTGGTTTAAAAAGAGGTTTTATATAAAACCTCTTTATAAACTGTTGATTGTAAAAACAAAAAGATCTTGAGAAAAGAGGCAACCCTAATGTGTGGTGTTTGGAACTTTAATTCTAAATCTATGTTGTGTTGTGCATTTTAATAAAGCCATATAATACTGTCCATGAGTGAAAACTATGTGGGGCAAATAAACTTCAACTTAGTCAAATGTCTATCTTTGGCATTTAAAGATTACCCAAATGGATTTGAAATTGCCTTTCGGATATTTGAATGGAATTTTTGTATTTGATGGCATTAGTGTGATATGTGGGATAAAAACTCTGGTCTCTTTAAATTGCCACATCATAATTTCACAATTTAAAACATTTTGTAGTGCATTTTTTAGGATGATACAGATGGAGACATATTCCTTAGCAAGATAAAAATAGCATCTTATATGAAAGAGTTTATGTGGTGGGAGACTGGAAGGTGTGATAGAATTTAGAAATTCTGTTGAAAAGGTTTTAGGATATTCAGTGTCAACAAAATCAACACTTTCATATATATATATATATATATATATATATATATCACCTTGTAATCTAGAGCAATAATGTTGTTGATTGGAAATGTGCCATTGTTAAGTGGGGTAAGTATGACTCAATTGGCTGTAATATAAGGGTTTGAAATATCAAGTATTGAAAGGTGGAAAAAATTGATAATAGATGAATAAATTAGTTGTGTATGAGGTAATAAAATGGAGTTAAAAAATAAATATGGTAAATTTTGAAAATTTTCACCATTTCCAACTTGGAGAAGTCAATCAGCCCATGATTTATCACTTTTAGCAAATTGCATATTTATTTTCAAAGATAGTTTTCTAAAGAATTACCATAATTTATTCATTCTTACAGAACTTGAAACAATTTATACCCTATATCCATATGGAATGACTATAAGTGTCTATCTAAAGTCACTGTTAGTAACAATAGTTATGCTACCAAAACATAATGGTGTATTATTTAAGTCTTGCAACACTCAATCAACATCAATGAGTGCATGAGTATGAATTATACTTATTTTATCCCATAATAATATATTCGCATTTTTTTATTCTTCTACCTACTTTACTATTAATAGTTATAGTAGAAATTGATGTTTCATTTATTGGAATAGGACATTTAAAAGTAATGTGTGAATTGTGCCTATTATAAAATAAAATACTTACAATTCCTATCTAAGCTATACATTTATTTCTTTTAGTTATAAAATATTTATAATAGTGTTTAGAAGAAATATTTTACTAGAACCACTAGGGCCATCAATAAAACTGTACTGATTATACTCATTTGGGTGATTAATTACATTAATGATATCATTAAAAATATTTAACTATTCTTCATTAGATAGAGGAATATTTTATTCAACATTTTTATATATTTGTGCTAAGTTGACAATATTTTCATCAATACTATTTTAGACGGTAAAGGTAGATGGTAGTTTGGATTATTTTTGCCATGCATTTTTCATTTTAATATTTAAATCATGTAAAGCATATTAGTAATGAAAAATAGATTTATTTGCATGAAATCCTTAGAGAGGAAGTTTTTATATTTATCCCATAACATGTAAAGATGTTTTAGAGTGTATAAGATACAAAGTAATACAAATAATTATCTTAATTGTGAGGGCATTCTAAAATAGCAAGGATTTTATAAACATTTTTTGCATTCAATATCACCAAATAAAAGCACATTGTATTACTTATTGAACTGTGTTATAATAACTATTGTTAACTGTTTTGAGGTTTGTAAAACTCTGAATTTAAACTTTTTGGGAGGTCACCCAAAATATTACTCAAACCCAAAACTCAAAATATCCCAAAATCCTTAACTGATTAAAAAGGGCTTGCATTTTTGTTTATGAGCATTTTTCCTTTATAGTTGAATTTCAATGGATCATCTTTCGAATTATTGTCTTTGGTTGCTTATAATCCACCATGCTTTCCTGTAAATTCAAGCCCTCGTGAATGGAAAGACATCCAACCAAGCTAAACTGGACCACTAAATATCAATCTCAACATATAGTGTGATTCTATTAACCAATCAATAGAGTTGAACTTAACACTCTTTTGATATCAAATGTAAACTCTTGAATTTAGACTTCCCAAAAGATCATTTATCCTAGTATTACTCAAACCCAAAGACACTTAACCCCAAGTCTTTTAGTATTTTTAACTAATTGAAAAAAGGGTGCATTATTATTCATGGGCACTTTCCCTCTATATTTGAACCTTTATAGATTATCTTCAAAGTCATTTTTGTGAGACATAAACCTCTAAGCCCCTGAAAGGGTGTCATGTGGTAGTGGCCAAAGTGGAGCTAACCAAGTGTAACACATTTTGATTAAAAGCTCCTAGTCGAGAGTGGGAGTGGAACTTCTAACAAAATGCTTAAAGAATAAGTACAAAGCGAGCAATAAGTGAGTTTTTAGAAAAGGGATACAAGAGGACCACCACATAACACATGGAAAAATCTAAGATGGAATTCAAGATTGAGTCTGAAATGGACCCAAGATGGACTTGAGATGGACTCTAGATGGAGTCCAAGATGGAGTTTGAGATAGACCTAAGATGGATTTGAGATGGACCCCAAATGGAGTTCGAGATGGAATCCGAGATGGACCCAAGATGGACTTGAGATGGACTCTAGATGGAGTCCAAGATGGACCCTAAATGGAATTCGAGATGGAGTCTGAGATGGACCCCAAATGGAGTCTAAGATGGACCCGAGATGGAGTTTGAGATGGAATTCGATATAGACTTGAAATGGAATCTGAGATGAACCCAAGATAGAGTCCGAGATAGACCCTAGATAGAGCTGAGATGGACCTTAGATGGAGTCCAAGATGGACCCGAGATGGAGTTCGAGATAAAGTCTGAGATGGACCCCAAATGGACCCCAAATGGACCCCAGATGAAGTCTAAGATGAACCCAAGATAAAGTTTGAGATGGAGTCTGAAATGGACCTAAAATGGAGTCTGAAATGGACCCAAGATGGAGTCCAAGAATCGTTCCCCAAGGGGTGGGCTGCAAAAGTATATTAAGGAAGGTGTAGGGGGAAGATTCTAATAAAGTTAATTTGGCCAGGAATGGCTAGTGTGACTAAGGAAAGTTATACCTACGTGTTGAGTGATGATATTACCACTAAGGAGTCCAAAGCTAGAGTGAATACGAACAAGCAAGTGGGGTAGCTTGGGAAGTGTTCAAGAGCTAGTTATAGCTCCCCTAGGAGATCGAATGGTCAATACTCTCAATTCAAGTTGCTTTCTTCTGAGAACATCTTTCCCACAACTTTAGTATGGCACATTCTGCCATCAATGAGATACC